GCAAGCACCCCGCTGTTGCTACATCATCATCAGTTTGAGAAGTTCAGTTATCCGTCCAGTGTCGACGTGAACTAAATCAGGAGCCCAGTCCTCCGTCGTCGATTCAAACTGTCAATGATTTAAAGTCAACTTCACTCGCTACATACTAGTTCCAAGGGAATTCAGGCCAGAGTTGTCATCACAACCGTCACCACGAATCTCCCTTCGACAGAACTAGTACACAACATAGGTCTCTAAATTGGACGATGCTATTCGAAAATTATCCTTACCCCTTCAAATCCTCCTAGCAATGGGTTAAGAAGCTTCACCGGCAAACCAGCATCGACTATGGAGGCCAGTATTGGATTGATGATTCGTTTTCCACCGTCATCATTTCATAATACGCATACAAACAAATCTGATGTCATCAACATTACCATAACGCCTACTTGAGTTATCGTCAACTTAATTGGATTTCACAAACCTGGTAGATGTAGTCCGGCCATCTAAACACTAGATCAACAACTGAATCACAACATCTTGTTTTCAGCCATAATCTAGCACAGTGTTAAAAACATTGGTTTTTGGGGGCCGGGATGTTGTGATTCGCACTGATGGCGAATTTCATCTCGCTTCTGTCACCACAGAAAAAAACAGGCCTTTTGCATCTAGGCGAAATCGTCCGCAGTGTAAATAATTGCTTCATGTCTGTATGTGCTTGATTGTAAATGGTTCTTTAAAATGTTTTGTACACTAAAAAATTGAAATGAATTGTTTGTTATGGTCAATAATTCATTTCTTTTATCTTTATTAAGGAGACAACAATTCACATTTGAAGTTTAAAGGGCGAACACGAAATTATTGCGACACATTCAACAGGGCATAACTTTTTTACCATTGGGTAAAAATCAACCAAATTTTGCACACTTTTTCATTGATGTGTATTGTGTACATGATGTCAAACTCGAAATCGTGTTTTTCGATTCTACGAAAATGGAGGTGAACCAACGCGAGTTGAGAGAACAAATTCTTTCCTAACACCTGGAATTTCCTGACTTGTCGCACCGGCAGTTGGGAAAAATGTTGAACATTCACCATTCAACCGTCTCCAGAGTGTTGAAGCGGTTCCAGGAGCGGTTGACGTTGGACCACGGCAAAGGAGCTGGAAGAAAACCGGGACCGGAGAACAAAAAGACGGAGGGAAAGGTGAAGCGGATGATTAAAGCAAATCCCAACGTCTCAAGCCGTGATTCGGCTAAAAAGATCGGCATGTCGCAGAGCTACGTCCAGAATGCAAAGAAGAGAGCTGGACTACATACATACAAGGTACAGAACTTCCCAAACCGCGATGAGCGGCAACAATCGACGGCTAAAACTCGGGCACGGAAGCTCTACGAGAAGATGCTGACAAAATATGGCTGCTGTGTGATGGACGACGAAACGTATATAAAAGCCGATTTTAAGCAAATTCCGGGGTTGGAGTTTTTCACCGGCAAGAGCAAGTTCGATGTGGACGACAAATTTAAGAAGAAGAAAATGTCGAAGTTCGCCTCCAAATATCTCATTTGGCAGGCCATCTGCTCTTGCGGACTGAGGAGTGAGTCTTTCGTGACAAAGGGCACAGTAAATGGCGAGATCTACAAATCTGAGTGCCTCGAGAAGCGCCTTTTGCCGTTCTTGCAGCAGCACGACGAAGCTCCGCTATTTTGGCCAGATTTGGCATCATGCCACTATTCTAAAAGTGTCCTGGAGTGGTATGAGGCCAATTCTGTCCATTTTGTTCCAAAGGACATGAATCCGCCAAACTGTCCGGAGCTGCGCCCGGTGGAGCAGTACTGGGCAATAATGAAGCGGGAACTTCGGAAGAGCAAGAAGACAGTCAAAGACGAGAAGGACATGTTAAGCAAATGGAAAAAAAAACTGAGAAACTGGTACCGGATGACACTGTAAAGACTTTGATGGAGGGCATCAAGCGAAAATGCGTTCAATTTTACACTCAAGGCTCCATCGATTAACTTTTCTTTGATTTTTGAAGTAAATATATGTATAAAACTACCCTAAAATTTTGGTTTGATTCTAAACATTATAAGAAAATTGGCATGACATTTTCGGTGTCGCAATAATTTCGTGTTCGCCTTTTAATTCAGCCATTTTGAATATCGGAAAAATACTTGATAAATAATGGTGAATTTGATATTTTTCAACAAATCATAGCTCGAAAACGTTACTTCCAATCGAAATGACGTCTAACACAAAGTTCTAGGAAAAATAATCAATACAGAAACCAACCCAGTGAACAAAAAGTTGGTAACGTAAAACGGGGGTAAGTTGATCACGAGGTTGATCACTTTTTAACTGAACCCTGAATATTCTTCCTAGCATATGTTTGGCACACAAACAAATACCTCTCAAACCTGTACTAGAAAATACTTTTCTGATGTTCGAATTAAGTTTTTAAATTGCATGTTTAGTTTATGTTTAAGAATTAAAATTGCAAATGTTCAATTCTGGGGTGAAGTTGGTTTTTATGCAATGCAATATTCAGAAGTTAGCGGTGCCGGTGGTGTAGTGGTAAGCGTGATTACCTCTCACCCCAGCAGGCCTGGGTTCAATCCCAGTCGGCACCACCGGGATGTTCTGAGGCATAACATCTTTGATCACGCCTTCCTTCGGGAGGGAAGTAAAGCCATTGGTCCCCGGTTCATGAGTTGATGGCTCGATAGGTAAGGTCCAGGTGTGGGAGCTGCCTCCCTGGCGTCGGTAGCATTGGTGCTCAGCACGGAAAAAAAGATCGACGGAAAACAAATCAAGAAAAAAAAATATTCAGAAGTTAGCATGTCTACTTGATTTATGTTCGCTTAAGACGAATCTTGTGTTAAAATTCCAACAAAATTTGTGGTTCAATGAATTCAACCTAAATTTAAAAAAAAATATCAAAACCTGTTATCAATATGTTTTTTAAAACATAATTTCATAATGTTTTGATATCCGACTTTGTTCGGGTAGTGACTGTTGGGTAGCTGAAAATTTTGTCTTTCCGTCTATTTTTTTTAAATCGAACAAAAAATTGCTAAGTGAACCTGAAAATTTTTCGCTCCGTCTGCAATCAGTAAAGATAAGTTTACTCCAACATTTACATAGGGGAAATGACGACTTCGGCATGACAGACTATTTTCGGCAACCCAAATTGAAACACTATTTTCACTGGATTTTCTTACGAAAACACTTCGCTGAATGCATGCAAACGATTCTTTATGCTTTCAGCTTCAATTTGACTATATTTTTACCACTGAGAAAAAGCAATCTAGCAGGGTTTTCTTGAAATGAAACACACGCACTACAAATTGTAGCTGATTTCGAGTTGCCGATAATAGAACAGCAGATTTACATGTAGTTCAAATGGAACGGTTTCCGAAGAAAAACTGGTTGCCGACAATACTCGCTCTCACTAGAGAAGATTGGAGCTTTGTAAAAGCGTTTCAAAACAGTTTTTGACAATTCTTTCGACTGAAATTGTTAGAGCAGCTGGCAGCAAAAGATTTTAAACAAACCAATATTGCATATGTGTGCGTTCCATAGAGAAAAAGGCTATAGAAAGAAGGTCGCTGCTTAGGTTGCCGAGAATACGTAAATTCCCCTATTTGTTAATAAAGTGAATAATTAAGCAACGAAATAAGTGATTTTTATTTAGATATTTTACTATTCCTTCTTCTTAAAACAATATGTATAAATCAAGTAAGTATTCAGGTGTGGTTACTAGCATCAGCTTTAGTAAAAACGTGAGACAAACACTACTGGTACTTGAGTGCTTGGCATTGAGAAAGTCTATAAGTAGTGGATGAAATACGCTTATCTGTCAAAAGATAACCAATTATAACGGAATTAAACCTTTTTATCAGAAAACTGTTTGAAATTATCGAAGACATTACAAAAAATAGTGAAAACGTGATTTTTGTTTGCCGTTTGATGAGTTAGGGTTGTCAATATTCGGTTATTATAGATCAATCAATCAATGACGATTTAGAGCAATTCGATAAAATTAGCATGTTAAGGTAATTAATTTTCAAAAATTCAAAAGCGTTTTATTCGTTCAAACCCAAAATTACGTTCATGAAAATGTGAGCATTGCATTCTATTTGCCTACCGGAACACAATGAATACAGTTTCACTGTCAGAATTACGCGAACCTACTTTTGAATTTCCAAAAATGTATGACGTCCCCTTGCCCCTTAAATAAGTTCAATCATTAATCAGATTTTCGCAGTAATTAGAACCAATGTAACCCATCTGATACTAAACCATTAACAGTCTTTCAATTATAACAGCTTCTGATGTATTTTTGAGCCACATTTTTCTGTCTGTTTACAGTATGAAGTATGAACCTAATCAGCGCTCGTATACATTAGAAGCGGACTATGGTGTATCGTGTTAGTAAGCGTAGGTACGATATTCCACAGGTGAACCGTAAAAAATATAATGATGAGTACTCAACAGCAGCACAAACACCTTCACACACTCACAAAGCTCTCCTTGCGCTGCACACTAATTAACGCCGAACCGCAGTCTCTTATATCATTTCATCCATTCGCCATTAGGTAGTGGTGCTAGAGCAGCTAGCTTACCTTAACCGACCATTCGTTTGTCCCATAATATAGATTTTACAATTCCCTTCAGTTGATGGATTTATTTCACTGGCTTCGTGACCAGCACGATTGATCACATTACATATGCTTGCTTTATGCTGCGACCTGCAACATAGTTGAAATTTCACTCGCGATTGATGCGCATTCGAATACGGTAATACCGAACGTAAAATGCAGCTTAATAATGGGAATCCCCATCGCCCGCCCCCTTCACTTCAACACTCTTGAACACAACAGCACTGGACGTGGCGGTATAAGATCGAGTTTGATCTGCTACCTACTACACTCTATGGCACTCTACTCACTTTATTTTCCTCGTTGATTATTGCATCAAACCAAGAGGAGAAAACCACATTCTTTCCGAAAGCGACAACTCACCGAAATCAGAACAATATATGCATAAACCAGATATCTGAAGCATTTAATCCTGGCCGACAGACGCATCTCGAGAGATTTATTGGATCCACTCGTCACGATCGAAATTCAGCATGATTCAAACGGTTCTAATCCACGTAGAGATCGCACCAACTATTTCTTCTGGCGATCGACACTAGCTGGCGACGCACCTTCTTCGCCTTCACACAAACACACACACTCACGCAAATGCAATCTTTAGGGTCCGGATCGAAGAAATAGCCACGTAAAAGGTAACGACGGAGACCCCCGACTAAGGCTTCACACACTCGAACCACACGCCCGACGACGCTCTACGAGACGCTATACCTACAACCTCCTTTCAGGGTGCAAGGTAAACCTGTACTGAATTCGAGACTGTTGTGTTGTGACTGCTAAACACGACGACGCTGGTCTCTAAAGCCATCCAAACAAGCGCGCACGGCATCAGAGAGGAGTCTCAACTCAACTCAATTCACAGTCAACACCAACACACAGCCGTCGGACGGTTTATAAGGGACCCAAACCCAACCAACTTGAACCATTGCGAACTAATGCTACGAAAAGTGGCAGAGAATGAAGAGAAAATCAGAGAGGGTTGTTTCCCGACACGCATATTCCTACGCAAAACGGAAAAACGTGCTGTCGAGTTGTGTGGTGCATCTTTGTTGTTTTCCCTCACGGACGACGGTAGATACGCTCTATGCTCACTCACCACAGGATATCTGCTGCTCAGCTGCTGCTGCTGATGCTGGCCGTTCGTTCAATGCCTATACCATACCAGATGACGATGATGATGGTTTGAGCAGACGCGTCTCTGTACACGACACTTGAAAACGAGATGAGGGAAAATCCCCTATCAGTGATGGGATGAATGGAATTTTTTTCTCTCAGCCGATGGTTGCTATATACGGAGTGGGACAGATTTTTCAAATCGCAGTGGACTCGTCATGAATGCATCGAAGACAAAATATATAAGAGGAAGAGATTCAAGAGAAGGTTAGCGATTGACGGTTATGAAACCGAGGTGGTAGACGAGTTCGTGCAGCTGGACTCAAGGGTCAAGCGCAATGACAGCGGAAGCGGAACGGCAGTGGCAGCGGAAAAGTTCGATCTGAGTAAGCCTACTTGTCGGATTGAAAACTAGTTAGAACCAAATCGACTTCGGCTAGGCATCTAGATGTCATTTGTGACAACTGTCAAGCTTTCCGTTTCCGTTCCGCTTCCGCCCATATTGCGTTTGGACCTTCACTAAGTCTTGTGACCTGACAGCCTATAATGACACCAGTAGACACACCCAAAGACGCATTATGGCAGGGAATCGTACTTAATTTTGGACTCAGACAGAAGGACGCCGAAGTTCGTCGCACCACGAAGTTGACTATCTACAAAACACTGATTAGACCAGTAGTCCTCTACGGTCACGAGACATGGACTATGAGAAGGTGTTTTTGATCGGAAGGTGTTTCGTATTACGTAGCTGCTCCATCTGATCCTCACTGCAGCTATTCCATCCTGTCACTAACTCGTAAAGGTAACCGTAAGAGGTTACCAAAAATAAACGCCATGCCTACTGGTAATTAAAAAAAAACTGTGCCGTCCAAGCGAGGAAAGATTAAATTTAAGTACATTGTGGATAATGTTTTGAATACCCTCGGCTTTCCTGACGAGTCGCCACTTCGAGGGCTTATTGACTTGCTTGTTCCTACAGTTGCAAACTGTATCATGGCCCCTTATTGGTGAATTCATGTCTTCCGATGGATAATTCATCGAGTGAGGATCAAGATATGATCACTGTAGTACAATGGAACTGTCGTAGTTTAAGACCTGAATTAGACTCGTTCAAGTAATTGATTCACAATTCTGATTGTAATATTTTTGCACTCTGCGAAACATGGCTTTCTTCGGAAGATGAACTAAACTTTCATGATGTCATTCATATGGTGGCGTACTTTTGGGGATCAAAAAGCGTTACCCCTTCTATAAAATATCAAGCCCAACAATTTCAGGCATTGAAATTGTCGCTTGCAAAAAAATATGAAGAACAAAGATCTTTGCATAGCTTCTGTATATGTCGCTTCAAGGACTTCCATAAACCGCTATCAGGTTGGGGCGAATCATATGATGACTATAGAGCGGACATTTTCTATAATTTGTGTGACGATTTCAACTTCACTATCTTGATCACTGGTGAAGCAAAACGAATAGCAAAACCTCCTTCTCGGGAGAGCCGTCTTGACATATCTTTGTACTTGTATCTTTGTACTCACTATCATTAGATTGTATGTGGAAGGTAATCAATGATCCCCATGGTAGTGATCACTTACCAATTATCATATCAATCAAAAGTGGCCGTTAGACTGATGCAAAATTTGACATTTTCGCTCCACAGTGCTCAAGCGGTTCCAAATCGGGTCTAGATTAGCCTCGAAAGGTTTGAACTGATTTGGTAAGAAACTGACTGGGCACAAACCATTTGAAGTTTATATGGGAATTACTATGGGGAAACCAAACTTTTTCTTCGTAGTCTTCAACAAAGTTGTAGCTGTGAAAATTTACTACAAGTACAGCTATCAATTTTTTCAGCAGAGTAATTGGGTTAATTATTAGATAGATAAGAATACAAACTTTGGTTTTCCCATAGTAATTGGAACCGTTTGAACACTGTGGAGCGAAAATTTCAAATTTTGCATCAGTCTAGTGACCTTCAAAACACAGATCAGTCAATTCAAGTTCCTTTTGACCTCACGAGGAACACTGATTGGCAAAAATTTCCATCGGTGGTAACTCTTGGTATTGATTCTAGCGATCCTCTACGAGATCCTCTACAACCATTGGACGAGTATCGTTTTTTTACCGAACAAAAGCGCATTAGAAGCTCAGAAACGACGTGTTCCAAGTGCATTCTCAAAAAGAAGATCCGCCACCCCTGGATGGGATGGCGAATGCACAAAGTTGTATCTTGAGAAAAAAAAAAGCTCAAAAACTAACTGAAAGCAAAGAAGAAATTACTGGCGTACTTTGATCCACATCACCTTTATCCTAGACAGTTACCTTTTAAATGGTGGAACGGTAAAAAAATGGCCAATCATGATTATGTTATTGTATAAATGATCAAACTTTTGAAGTTCAATGACTACAAAATACAAGATTTTTTTTAACTGGTTCGTTTATTTGGACGGCTCAACCGCGTTGGCTTTACGGAGCCGATAGTTCATTGTTCTTTGTTTGTTACAAAATTCACTTAATTCTATGTCTAGTAGGAGTTGGGCTGAATACTCGCGGCTTACCCGAGGTTAGAAGGGTACATTGTCGAAGGATAGGATCAGGAGATGAGCTTGGGAGTAGGGTTTCGTTGTCTCATCAGAGCGTTGTCGCCAGTATGACCGGTAGTGCGGTTCTAGATTCGTCTGGAGTTCGACCGGCTATGGTGACCAGTGGGCGACGATGAGACTCATCGAGACGGGCGACAAGACAAACAAAAACTAATAAAGAGAGACAAAAGACAACGTAATTAAATTCTTAAACTAGCCATTTGCGGAAACACATAAATCGACTGCATATAGCAGGTTACCAACACGTCTCTGATATGAACATAGGGTTATCTTCCTTGGGCCTCGAGGGTATTCAAAATTCACTCTCTGGCGGCGTCATTATCCTCTGTTGACATTTTTGCTTCAAATACGTAATATGGGTATTCCAAGTGCACTTTGAATCAAACCAGACCCCAAGGTACTTGAAAGACAATGATTGGGTAATGTTTCTGCCCAAAAGGTTAAGCTGCATTTGGGCTGGGTACCGCTTTCGAGTAAACACTACTAGTTCAGTTGTCTGCGGCGAGAATTCGATCCATAGATTCCTAGCCCAAGAAAACCCACGGCATGTGGACCTCTTACGGAAACCACACCGTCATCTGCAAGTTGCCTTAGCGTGCATTGTTCTACCAAACAGTTGTCGATATATTTGACATAAAAGTTATAAAGAAGAGGGCTTAGACATGAGCCCATGTAACTAATTCTGGAAGTTGTCAGTTCATTCGCTTTTCTGACAACAAATTGGGCAAGAAATTATTTAAAATTCCAGAAAGTCCACATCTGTGCAGATTGTCTGACAGAATTTTAATGGAAACTGAAGCAAAAGCCCCCTTAATGTCCAAGAATACTAAGGCTAATTGCTCGTGCGCAAAGGCCAGTTGAATATCTGTGGAAAGCAGCGCTAGACAATTGTTTGTTCATTTGCTCTTGCGGAACCCAAACTGTGTATTTGATAGCAATTTATTTGATTCGACCCACTGATCGAGTCTCCGAAGGATCATTTTCTCCAACAATTTCCTAATGCACGAAAGCATGGCAATCGGACGATATGAGTCATGGTCAGACGCTGGTTTGCCGGGTTTTTGCATGGCTATTGCTTTGACCTGTCTCCATTCAGGCGGTACAATGCTGTTTTCTAGTAAGGAATTGAATAAGTCCAGCAAGCGTCTTTTAGCGATATCTGGGAGATTTTTTTCAGAAGATTGAATTTAATCATATCGCTTCCCGGTGAGGAGTTATTCGATGAAAGAAGAGCCATTGAGAATTCCGGGGGGAGGTAGCTCATCGATTCTTCCGTTTCGCCTCCTAGCATCGTGCTATAAGGTACCAGGCGATAACCAGGGTAGTTGATCGATAGCTCGATGACGTCATTTCGTTGGCGTCTGCAATGGGAAATTCTCATAGCAGGCGTTGACGATGGGACGTTGCGAGTTGTTGAATAGCAACTATCGTGGTAACTCACCGATTACCAGTCGATCTGCCAAATTTGGAAAGACGTCTGCATTGAATTGCCTCATATAATAATATTCCGCCCACTATATCACAAGAAATTGCGAGTAGCTGAGTGGAATGGAGATAAGTTAAGCATTGGGTACAGGACCAAGTCTCCCCTGGGTGGTGCCAAAAGATGAGCGCAATAGAATCATCAAGTTGCCATAAGGCACGGAATGAGACTATTGCATGGCTGGGTAGTCAAAGTCTTCCATTCGTTAGTCATTTCAGGTGGATTAGAACAGGTTTAGGTGTAGGGTGGGTGTTGGCCAGATTTGGATTTTTCAGATATAATCCTAAATAAGACCTAGATTATTTAATACACTAGTAACCTCAACTTCTGTCACAATGTTTCATTGTGACTAATCAACACTCAATGGGTAAAATATCAAATTTGCGGTAAATTTGAAAAAAAAGGTAACTTGGAGTGTAGAGCGCACTGCCCACTGGACGATTCTGAAGCCTGACCAAGTGAGTGGGTTACGGGTTTATTTGATTGTACGTCATTTCCAAGTTATATATAGATACATTCATACCATTAGCATTTTGTATTTGAGATAAGACAGACACAGGATGCGGAGGGC